CCACATCATTGCTACTTTACTTTGACCTTCTTTGCTGTTATGGATTCCACAAAAAATACTTAAAACACTGTTCCGCTCAAAATCGCTCCAAAAGTAGACAAATTTGCGGAATCCGCAACCGTATTTGAGGAATCCAAAACAGTTTGTGTAGTCCACAGGCAAACAATAAGACATGTGTATTGTTAAATTGAGCTGTTGCGGAATCCGCAACTGTAAGTGGAATCCGCAAATTGTAAGTGGAATCCGCATTTTGTTTGCGGATTCCGTTTACATATATGTATATATGAAGTAGCGTTTAAAATTATATCTTTCAATTACGTGATTTGATTTCACTAGAATAGGAAATTACTAGATCAACGTTTGTAGTTAAAAAAATCTCAATTACTGACCAGTATTTCGTATCGATGAAATCCCAAACACTGAACTAATTCGACGATTTGCTATGCGTTGGGTTTCTAATCACTCTCAATCTAATGACACCAAATAAAGAATTTCTTCCATATTTTTTTTCATATTATTCCAGTTTTTGGGATTCTATCAATCCCAAATACTGACCAGTATTTGGGATCGATGGGATTCCAAATACTGACCTAATTTGGCAATATCCTGTGTGTTGTGTCTCCATTAAATCTCAACTCAATGACTCCAGTTATTGAAGTTATTCGGTGTTTTGATTCCAATATACTAAAAGATGATATCCACCGATTTTGATAACTAATGTCTTAAGACTTGTTCATGCGTTCCGCTGACAATGGTTAAGTCCTTGATTTTAAATTCCGCGTTGCTATAGATAAGACTTCCAGCTCTAGCTTTTAATTTTCATATGCAAGTTTAGTATTGAACAAAATTTGGAATCCACTTACAGTTTGCAGAATCCGCTTAGATGCGCGGATTCCGCTTACATTTTCAAAAACAACTAGCGATTTTCGCGGAATCCGCGACACAACAAGTGTGTCGACAAAATTTTGCTTACACTCATATGTACGCGGAAACCACGAAAGTTTTGTAAGTGGAATCCCCTTACATTTTGGAACATATTTAAAGATTAGTTTTTGGAATCCAGGAAGTTACAGACACAAAATTGTGCGTCTATCCAGTGCACAGTTTGGCCTCGTAATGATTTTTTAATTCTGTCAAATTTTGTAGAGTTTTCTTATTTCATTTTACTTTTTTGTATTACACTGTTCTTCATGAAAAGCTTTGGCCATTTTAACTAGCCTTTTTCGGCAATAATTTTATTTATCATTCGAAAGTTATTGTTGTCCTGAGCTCAAATTTGAAAAGATATTTTACCTGTGATCATTTTTTGTAAAGTTACGGGGGTTTAAATATTGCCATTTTGGGACAATTAAGGAGCGATATATTTCGCGCTATTAACGCGTAAGCGGACAGTTAATCCGTCTTAGAAATCATTCCAAATTGGTTGAAAGAAGCTTATTTGCCATAATCTATTTGTTACAAAGAGCTAAACCTATCCTTTTGTACTTTATATGGCAAGTGGAGAGATGATTTTCATAAATATTTTCAAATTTTAGAAAAAAAAATTTCATTTTGTTTTATCTCAATTGTTTTTTAAATGTTATTACTGCCCCATAAGCCTTAAAAGACAGTCGGAACATTCAGGGCTTTGTCTTGATAAGAGCAGTTTTGTTTTTTGTTTGAAGTCAAACGATATGAATTTTCAAATGACATAAATTTTTTTGTATAACAAAATTGTATAACGCAGTTATTTAAGTAAACACTTTATTAAATAATATATAGCTCGTTCTTGTGCAAGTAGCACAGAGTTAAACAACCGTAATCATAAGAGGACTATGCAAAAAGGTAAAATATTTTCAATTAGGCATACGCGACAACAATTGTCTTTAAAAAAGAATAACAAGCAGAAAAATGAAAATTGTTTCTTAAGTTTGCAATTTTTTTTCGGTCTCTATTTTTTTGTGCCAGGAAAACTCTAAAAAAAGCTTTTCAAGCAAGTTTTCCTTGAGTAAAATTAGGTTTTTCAATAGGTTTTTCACTCTTTCAAAATTAGAATTGAAATTGCACTGGTTTTTCTTGAGACTGGGAAAAAATTTTAAAGTTATGTTTAACGTCGTTTGAATTATGTTTAACGCATAACTAAAACCGCTTTAATATAGCATATCTCTTGTCCCATTTAAATGATTATTTGAGTTAGCTTTTTCAAAAACGTAATAATTAATTTTTAAGTAGATTAATTTTTAAGCATCAAAGCATCGTAGAATAAGTCTTTTAATTTCAGGAAATCTTTTTTTTCCAATTTCATTGCAACAACTAAAATTTACCAATTTTTGTATTAATTTTTTGTTTTGTTGCGGTTGATTTTTTTTTCTCATTTAGTAAAAAAAAAATGAGTTTTGTCAGATTGAGCTCTTGGATCAGTTGGCCAGAACGGGATGGAGTTTAAGACCATTTTATCCACGGGGGAAAGGACCAACACAAGAGCTGTACAGCTCATCACGGCGAACCGCTGTTGTGCCCCTGTTTAAGAGCTACATGCAATTTTTTTGGTTATTTTTCTGGGCTGGGTTATGTTGCTTCACCCTCAAGTAACGAGCACGGATCATGGTGGGCCTCGAACATCCGACCTTTCGATTGAGAGGCGGAGACGTAACCACTTCACCACCGCTCCCCTGAACCGCTCCCCAGAACCGGATGGAGTAATAATTTTTTCATGAAATTTTGAGTAGAAAAAAGTGATCATAATTGAGGGGAGAGTGCGAGGTCAAGCTCTCAATCATTTAGCAGCGAACATGCAAAATGCTTGATATCCTGCTGCTTAAACCCGTACAAGTGAGCTAGAATCGAATAAAAACCTAAACATCTTTTCTGATATCACTTTTGAAATTTACTCCCTTCAAACCGAGGTAAGTTTCTTTTATGTCCAATCATCTTTTATAACTAATCCTCGCAAAATCAACTTGTTTCAAACTCAAATCATCCAGCTATCTTTTATTTTTTTTTTCATCAATCATTTTTGAAAGGCAAGGCGGGATTGTTCCGACTTATTTCCGTTTTGAAATAAATTTTTAATTAATCACATTTGACTTTCCGTTTCTGTGACCACCAGGACATTTAGTTATTTCCGAATTTGTACTGTTTCATACCAAATTGAAACTGTTTGTGTGGTTTTTGGCTTCTGGGTTGATTCTCCAATGTTATGTTTTGTTTGTCTAGGGACCCCTCTTGGACTATAAGGAATCCTTGTCATCTCAAACTGAATTTCAGCATAAACCACTACCAATAAAACACCAATTCAATACACGATGTCATAATTTTCCTTATATCTCCCACCTTTTTCTATTTTTTATTTATATTTGCTGTTTTGCTCAGCCGCTTTTGTATCAACAAAGCCACTTTTCAAAATATGTCACTTTCATCGACCGTTTTAAACAATACTTCGGACCATATGGTGTAGTGTAGAGTTATTCGATCTTCGTTATGACGTATTTATGTTTTTATTCTACCATTTACCATGGCTTGTTTGAAATATGTCCGGCCCCTTTTTAAATAGGCGAAAGAAGGGGATTTAAAATCGAATATAGAAGCTCTCTTAAATTTTGCCCTGTAGGGTATTTGAAAATACGTCGCTGTTTTCTTAAATTTTAGACACTAGTAGCAAGTGCGTTTTGATACTGAATAACATTTACTAACGCGGGGATGAGTTTATTTGTTCAAAAAATCCGTATTTTGACCACCTTTTGACCCTATTTTCATGCGGATATTTTTCCTCAAATTGAGCTCAAATTGTTTACTTAAATATCACTAAGATAACAAAATGTGTATTTTGCAATAGAATAATAACTATCCAGTTGAAAAGGAGGAGAACCTTTTTTCTACCTCTTCTGAAAATGGTCTGCCTCGTTTAGATAGATCCGGGCTAATATTTTAAATATCGGAATTGCTTTTTGGGTGAACTTGCAAAAACTTCTTAGTCGCCAATGCAACTCTCTTGTACTTCCTTTATAAATTTATCATTTCATGATAGAAATCATTATCTTCAAATGAAAAAGTTATTGAATGAAGCAATAAAGCCCGGGGCGTCAGGAGTCTTGATGCAAACTTTCTTTCCAATAAACAGCTATTTTAGTCCAACACTGAATAAAGAAAAATCCGCCAGACAAGTGTTACGTATTCAATCAAATATCGACAAGAATCAAAAACGTCAGTTTTTGTTTTAAAAATTTTGAACTAGTTTGTTTTTTAAGCCATTTACCTTCCTATGTGACCGCTACGGTAATTCCTTATTAGTTATCATTTTTGAGTGATTTTCCCAAATTAATCTCCTTTTTAAAATTGGATTACGGTGTTAGTTGATTAGCTGTTATGGTCTTGTGCCACTATGTTACTTTAGTATCGATTTTCATATTCCAATAATAATTGGTAAAGTTGAGCTAAAAGGTATATGAGAATAAAAAAGCGTGAATACAAATGTTGTCTGCTGTTCTTCTTCTCCGCCCTTGTCGTCCTTAGCTCTTTTTACTTTTTACCTGTTCATGATTATGTTCACACATCATTTCCGGTCGGCAGTTGGAAAAGCTGTGCACTGTCCCCCAGAATTACTTCCTAAAAGCTCAAAACTCCATTAATTCTTCCCACGAATTCTTATCACACTGTTAAAGCCGTATGCACTAACTAAAATAACCACTGCTAAACGCCACCTACTCTTACAATGGTTTACCTCAGTCGTCGTTCCCTCGATAACGAGGCTTACATCAATTTTTACTGTATACTTGGTTTTCAACTGAACTCCACCTAACTGATCTAATTAGTACCATTTACGCAGACAATGTCTGATAAGGCTAAAGGAAGTGTTAACCAAACGAACAATAAATTGCCTCCAACATACGAACAATACCAGCAACAAATAAAAATGGCTTCACAAAACATTCAAAGTTACGGCCAAAGGTCAATTGAGTCCAATTTTGAGAATCACCAGGAATTTCAGAATGTCCAAGGGTTTCAGAATCGCCAAGAATCCCAGAATCTTCAGGAGTTTGAAGATCACGAGGAGTGTCAGAATCACCAGGAGTTCCAGAATCGTCAGGGGTTTGAAGGTCACCAGGAGCTGCTGAAACATTCCGCAGCTTCTCGAACTTCATCTTTTGTTGATAGTTCTAGCGCTCAATCCCCATTACACTCTCCGTCTATCCTTTCTTCGTCTCTCCTCGATTACAACCCCTACTTTTTCACCCCCATTAACAACGAGATTCGGTTCGAAGGAGATTTTAATTTTGTTCACACTCAAGAGGCGCGACCACAACGTACACCGGCGGGGCGCGCTGTCAGAGGCGGCGCTGTTGCTGCTTCATCCAGATCCCGTGCACCCGGGGAACAAAAGTCGGTATCTAGGTCGACAAGATGTCGCCGATCTCGTAAGTTAATAAAAAGAAAAAGGACTACAAACTGCTTTTCATTCGATGATTAGGTAAATTGATTCATATGTTTCTTATTACTCAAAGGTTTCATTTGACTCAGTTTCTCATAGCTTTATGGATCTAAAAGTTTTCTAACATATTGAACCCGTTGTTTCGTGTAGATTTTTTTCTGAATACTTATGAAACTCATTAGCAACGATTCAATCAAACATTTTTTACGCTGCTGGAAAAACTGAGGACCTATAGTAAAATTTGGCATTTTCTGACCTGGAATCATAATAGAAAGACCTTGAAAGTTATTAGTGGTACTTGCTTAGAGGTCATTTCAACTATTTTGCTGCTGCTGTCGGTTGCTGTAACATTGCTTAAGCATTGTGTGAAAATTTGGGAAAACAGCTCTTTGAACAGAGAAAATGAAGTGTAAAAGTTATTTTTGCATTTAATTTCGCATTTGAAATAATTTTGCTTTTATTTCAAATGTTTTGTTTGTATGATAAAACGAATACAATTTGAAATGTTAAACGCGATTTTTTTTTCAATTGGATTGGTTTTAAGAAACATGAAGAAAACAAAATTTAGTTTGATTTTCATTAAAATTAAAATCGTGCATTTTATTAAACAAAATCGGACCCAAACATTTATCCTGAAACCGATCCTTCTTGGATTTTTCTAGTCAATAAAAATTTACGCCGGAACTATCGCATCAGTTGCTGACAAAGTTATATAAAAGTGAGCCTCTTGAATAGTCCAACAAAATTTATAGAAAATTAATCTCAAAAAATAAACAAATTGTTATTGAAATGTTTTTAAATAAAAAATTGGTGTTTCTTAGAAGAAAAATGACACTTTTCACTTATTTAGCAAAAGTAAATAATTTAAACAAGTTTTAGAAGATTATATCCGTCTTTGTTGGAATATATGCATAAGTGGTTCGTTTTGACATATTTTTGTCAGCAATTGATCCGATTGTTCATAAATTTGTTTGCTGTCAAATTTTTCGACGTAACGAAACATTCCGCAGCTTCGTATGTAAGAAGGTCTAGTAAGAAGACCGAAACGTTTTTCATGGCTCAGTTTGTCAGCATTGCAGTTAATGTACCAATCGGACGATGCAAATCAAAAATTAAATACAAAAAATAGAAAAAAGAAAAAAGAGCCCAAAAAGGAAATGGAAAAACTGAAAGAGAACTTATAAGTTTTGTTCATTTTGTCCGGATAGTTTAAATTAGCACTGAATAACAAATTTTACAAATTTTTTTGATAGATTTTATCCGTGTCTTTTTTTTAAACAAATATATTTTTAAGATTTTTCAGCTACGCTTTTGTTTATATGTCATCAAGCAAGTCATCTTATGATGCATGGGTGTTAAGAGTCTATGTAAGCACTCATGATTATTGTCATCTAACCAAATTTTCTATTAATTTATTTCTATTTGATTCAAACGACTCGATATGTTTTTGAAAAATTGGTTTTTACAGGCGTCGAGCAAAGCTGGTTTGAAAGATTTATTTTTAGCACCAATTTTAGGCAAACAAGGCCAGCTAGTGAGCAGTGAACAAAGTTAATTAGATTGCAAAAATTGAGCTTAAAATGTGGAAACTGAGGTAGCAAAAAAAAATCAATTTAAAAACTTCATTGGCCCGAGCCTTGCGCCATTTGTATAGGAACTTGCTACGGTTGTTTGGCCTAATATCTTACAAAGTTTTTTTGTTCAATCTTTCATTTCGCTTTTAACTGTTATTAAAAACAGAAAGAAATATTCAAAAAGAATTCAATCTTATATTTGAACTTAGTTTTCTAGTTGAGGTTAATCTGAATCCGCTGACAGTCCACAATTTTATGTAGTTCAAGGCTAAAGTTTTGTTAACTTGATATGATTACTTATATGATTTCCGATTATTGAAAACTGAAAAACTGACTTGAAACCACCGAGTTTTTTTAAATTCCAATTCTGATAATAAGAAAAAATTTTCAGCCCTTTTTGCAAAAATTTTGCTCAATCGCTAATAAATATTCTCAGTATTAGAAATTTATTCGCTTGCCCAAACTTTAAACGACAAAAATGTTTTAAACTGATTTTATTGATTAAAATTTATGCATGCTTCATGAGTAGCCAGATGAGACTAAGTTATGCGCTTTTTTTGTTTCAAATATAGGAAAGATTTGAAATCAAAAAAGGTTTTAATACCTTTCTCTCATCTAGTCCCTCATCAAATTTTCATTAAAGTGTTTTAATACACGCAAAAAAGTTTGATATTGAACGCAGGGCTCTAAATTGTTGCACGGTGCTTTTATTTTGGTCATCGACCAAAGCTTTTTTGTAAAATTGTCCTATAGTTTGTTTTTTTTTACAATAAATTTTTTGCCCTCAAAAAGTGGTCATTGCTTAAAGCATTGAAGCATATTGAGTGAAGTACCGGCGACTTTTTTACCTTGGTTTTAAGGATGAAAAAAATATGCTTAAACTGACCCGTATATAGTTTTGGATGGTGCCTTTTCCTGTTTAGATTTGAAAAAACTTATAATTGCTTGACGATGCAGTAACTTTTCAGTTAGAACTTGGTCATAAAATTGAAATAATGAGGAATAAAGCTGTCAAGTTGCCCTAAATTACAAAAAGAATGCCTTGGAAACAAGACACATGATCCGATTTCGGATCTGTACCGCACAGAGATGACTGCCGCCTTAGCCGTTTGATTTATTCATGAAGCCGAGATTTCTTCTCGCAAAATGATCACAAATGTCAAATATAGAACTTTGGGAGCATTTAATTCCAAAAAAGTCGCTGTGTTAGAAAAAAAAAACTTTTTAAGAGCCTAATTGTTGTGATAAACTTATTCAATAGTTTCAGAGACAGAGATGTCTAACGCAAATCAACCAATTGGAAATGATGAACAGCTTGAGGTATCCGAGGAAGCAAATCTACCGAACCTGAGATACCAAGATCAGACTCCGATACCAAAATCATTATCAAACCCGAAGAGACCAAATGAAGTTATGAGTCCATTAAACGAGCAAGAAAGTAAGAAGCAGAGTATTGACATAGAAGAAGCTGTCGAAAATGCCATCAACACAGCACTCCCAAAAATTCTAGAAAAACTAAAACTTGATTTGAAGAACGAATTGCAGACAGTCATAGGAAATGCAATAAGAGCCGAATGCGCAAACCTTAAGAAAGAAATCTGCGAAGAGCTTAACGACGAAATGAAAAACAGCGAACTCAGAAGTACCTTAAGGACCCTGTGCGAGACTGAACAGCAGGAAACATACAACAGACGTGACAATATTCGAGTACTGGGAATAAACGAAACTAGTAGAGAGCAGCCTGAAGAGACAATCAAGAAGATTATATCCATCTCTAAGGAGATTAATGCAAAGGTAGAGGAAGGCGACATTTCAATTGCTCATCGATTACCAGCCAAAAATGTAGCAGCCCGCCCTATCATTGTGAAGTTCTCCAGGCGCATAGCCAAAGTGGAAATTATGAGGAAAAAAAAAACCTTGCGAGACAAGCCCACCACTGAAAATGTTAAAGTATTTGAAGACATCACCAGAGCACGAGTGAAGTTTCTGAAGCTTATGAAAACTGACAAGCGCATCGCATCAACATGGACCAGAGAGGGCATGATTTTATACACTCTCCAAAATAATGATCAAGTGTATAGATATCAAAATATTTTCCATGCTGCATCAGATCTTGGTTACAGTTACAATGACACCATGAATTGTTTTCGTGACTGATAATGTGAATCCCTCAATTGTGCTTAATAATGAATTATCCCAAATTACCTGTTATAATAATCAATCTGGTCATAAAGCGGATTTCTTTAATTTTTCTGTGCTACACCTAAATATCATGTCTTTAAAACCACACTATGAAAAATTGGAAGCACTTATTTTAAGTCTTGAGTCTCCACCTGATATAATTTGTTTAAGCGAAACATGGCTAAATGAAACAGATGAAGGTAAAATTTACCTGATAAATGGTTATAACCAATGCCTTATGCAAAATCGAAATGGCATGAGAGGAGGAGGAGTGATGGTTCAGGTACATAAAAACTGTAATTTACTGAAACAACGAGATGTCACATTTGAAGAGGCTTTATTCGCGGAGGTCGAAAAAAACAATTACAAATTAAAAATAGCCGTCATCTACAATCCACCAAGAATAAACAAGTTACTCTTTACTGACAAACTTGAACAGTTTCTTGAAGATAATAGCACACATTCTGACCCTTTCATTGTATGTGGCGATTTCAATATAAATACACTGCAAGAAAATCAACTCACCATTAATTACCTGAACGCTATAAACTCGAATGGGTTTGAGTATTTTGCATCAGAACCTACTCGTGTATCATTAACAACATCAACTTGTTTAGATCACTTCATCTATCAAAATATTGCAAATCCCAATTCCACGGTGTTAGAACAAGAAACTATATCAGACCACTATCCAATCCTCTTAGATTGGTCAATAAAGCAATGTAAAAAAGATATATCGATAACATTCCGTGATACATCTTTTCTGAGGAAGGCTTCAAAATGTAGAGAATTTGAAAATGAATTACAGCGTGTGTTAAGTGAACAGGAAGAAATTCTCATGGGTACCGAAGATCCCAGTGAGTCTTTTAATTTATTCAAATGTATCTTTGAAAATGTCCTAGACAAATTCGCTCCGCTAAAGGCAATTTCACCAAGAAGCAAAACTCAGCCACCATGGTTCAACAATGATCTTAAAAATCTGCGAAATAAGCGCAATGCAGCCCATCGAAGATGGAAAAATAATCCTGAAAATCCAGAAACCCTAGTGAATTTTAAAAAACAAAGACAAAAGTTTGAAAACGCCGTTAAATGCAAGAAAAGAACACATTACATGAATAAATTTAGACATTGCATTGGAGACTCAAGACAAACATATAAGTTACTCAATGAATTAAATTGTAAGAACTTAGCCCAATCAAATATTCCTGTTCTAGATTCATGCCTTCAAGTCCAAGAAAATCCATCTAATAAAGATATTGCTGACAAATTCAATGATTTCTTCACTAACATTGGAGAGAATTTGAAAAAAGAGTTGCCTAAAATAGATCCACCATGCTTACCCAAATTAAATCACTCCATGTTTCTTTTTAAGGTAACAGAACCAGAAATACACCAAATCATCTCTCAATTGGACGATAAATCGACATCTGGGGATGATTACGTCAGTAACTTAATTGTCAAATCTTCTAAAAATGCTGTTGCTCCTTTATTAACAATACTTATTAATGCGTCTTTTTCTAAAGGTGTTTTCCCTTCCGAACTTCGTAAAGCCAAAATTGTTCCAATCCACAAAGAAAAATCGCGGCGAGATGAAAACAACTATCGGCTAATTTCTTTACTAATAGTTTGGAGCAAAATCTATGAACGCGCAATGCACAACAGATTATATTCTTACTTTGAAAATTTATCCCTTTTATACAACAAACAATTCGGCTTTAGAACCAAACATAGTACAATAGATGCAGTAGCTGAATTGACAGAAAATCTAAGAATGAGAAGTCATACAAATGAAATTTATAGTTTTTTCTTGGATCTTAGGAAAGCCTTTGATACTCTCGATCATCAAATACTACTAAATAAACTGGAATCTTATGGTATAAGAGGAAATTGTAACCGGTGGTTTCAGACCTACTTATTTGAACGGACTCAACGAGTTTTAGTAAATGGACAATTCTCTGATTGGAAGAAAATAACATGCGGTGTTCCTCAAGGCTCGATACTGGGACCTTTGCTTTTCCTAATTTACGTAAATGACCTTCCATCAGCATGCAAATCAGTTGAAGTAACACTGTTTGCAGATGACACCAACCTGACGGCAATTGGTTGCCAAATAACTCAAATTAGAGAAGATATTGGCAAGCTGGATCGTTGGCTTCTCGCCAACAAGTTAATAGTTAATAGTGATAAAACAAATCAAATGAATATAAAAAGTGCTTCCAATTATCGCTTCAAGCTTAATTCTTCTAACATTATACTAAAACCCGTATGCAAATATCTAGGAATTTATATAGATTGTAAGTTATCTTATCAAACTCATATTAATAATGTTAAAATGAGACTCGGTAAACAATGTGGTATTATATCAAAACTGAGGCATTACGTGCCGCTTTCACAATTACTAGAATACTACAGAAGTAATGTTGTTCCTATAATACAATACGGAATTCTGATTTACGGTTGCTGCAGTCGAAGTTCACTGGAGTGTTTATTTCTTTTACAAAAGAAAATAATTAAATTTATGTTCTTTCGAAAGAAAATGTACTCCTGTAATGACATTTTTCTTAAATACAATTTTCTATCGGTTTTCGAATTGCATGTATACGAATTGCTCAAATTTGTTCTGCGCTCAATTAATTCCTTTCATTCAGAGAGTTTCCTTAACAATTTGTTTGTTTTTAATAATCGGCAGAGACAAACAAGAAACTCAAAATACAATTTACTATTAGAACCTCTTTGCAAGAAAAGATTTGAACGTTTTTCTATCCGATATCGTGCTTGCAAGCTTTTTAACTTATTGAGACTGCAAAATATAATTCCTGAAAATATTGAAAGTTTTTCTGAGACAAAAGTAAAAGTGTTTTACCATAATTTCAAAAATACATTTTTGTTGCAAAACGACGAACTAACAAAACTTATCTACGATTTGTAGTACTTTTTCCCTTTTTCCTTTTTTCTTTAAAATGATTATCGTTGGTTAAATGCTACCAGGCAACTGCTCTAGCTTCCGATTCTCGTGCTAAAATATGAAGCTCTAAATCCTTGTAGTTTAGGAGATATGGCCATTTTTACGATTTTTCGAAAAATATTAAACACTTAGTAAAAAAAAAAAAAAAAAAAAGGAGGAAGAAAAAAAAAAAAAAAAAAATTATTTTTCTTAAAAATTATTTAAAACTCACCTGCGACCGTGAACCTGGTTGTCTTAAGTTAAAGTTGATGGGCTCTTTCAGTAACGCCAACAAAAAATTTTAACTTACGGAAGTAAACCTACTTCAAAACTTTTTTTTTTTTTTTTTTTTTTTTTTTTTTTTTTTTTCAAATTTCGTTTTTTTTTTTTTTTTCATTAAATATTAGTGTTAAATCTTTATGTTTGAACAACTTAAGGGTAGACCCTGGAGGACCTTTAGGTCCCGTTGTCTATCCTCTCTAAGTCGCATCATTTAACTTAAATTATAAATATATTCAATGTTGTATTTAATGCTGACTAGAGAAATAAATTCTTTCTTTCTTTCTTTCTTTAAAATTTTGACAAAGACAAGTTTCTTTTAACAACCGCAATTTTAAATCAAGTAATATAAAAAAAGTGTAGTCAACTAGAGTGAAACTTAAAGAAAAGAGGCACCAAATGTTTCAATCTCAGACTAGATATTTCGGTCTCAAAGAACGTCCGTTCTGAATTCGCACCAACAATAGTGAAAGTGAGATTAAAAAGACAGGTCACTATTTGGGATAGAATAGAATAATTGTATATGGCTACAGTTTAGTTGCACCTGCGTAGAAATCATTAAATTTTTTATGATTGCTAAATTATTCAGAGCTGTTTCCTTAAATACAACATAACACTTCTTTACAGCCTCCTATGTATTATCTGCATACCATCGAGAGAAAAAAAAAGAAAAATATCCTTTTTCACGTAATGTCACAAGAAAACTAGAGCACAATGGGGAAAATAATGTGATGTGAAATAGCACCATAATAATTTCCTTTTTTAGTAGTTACGCCATATTTGTTTAGTTTTTTTTTACTTTTGTCCCTCTATTGATTGAACGTATTTCGATCTACCATTTCCTCAATTAGTGCACTTTCTCCAATATGTCAATTTGGTAAGTATTTTTGGGAACTTCAAACATTTTTCAAAACAAATTAATTCACTTAAATAAATCATCTAAGCGTACCCTTCCAAACTGCCGATGTAAGATCTAAAACTAGTTCGTTTTATATAATTGCGATCGACTGAAGTATTCTGACTGAAATTTGGACCATTTCACTTTTCAAAGTAGACTTTTCAAAAAAAAAATTGAAACTCGGAAAATGCAGTGATACTGCTGCTAGAAAGTATCACTTTTCGTAGAAAAAGTATGATGTTTTCCTCATATTATCTTTTGTTAATTGTTCCAGCTGACTGATTGTTTTTACGTGTTTATTTTGTTTGTTTACAGGTAGTGTCTGGGGTCTGGGATTTGGGAGTGAAAAAGACGCCCTAAGATTTCTCAGCTGCTGCACGGTAAGACAACTCATCCCCCCCTCATTCATCCCCTGCCCGAACAAGCTCTATGTATCTTGATTGTTGCATCGCACGAAAGTATTTTTCTTCAGATTACCCCTCCCCTCTGTGTCAAATATTTATCTGTTTATTAAAAACGTGGTACTTTTTATATAAATTTCCAGATTCAACTTGTTTTTGCTTCATTCCTAGCCAGTTCGATTTTGAACTAGAGAATCAAATTGAGCTAAGTGAAGAACAAAGTAGCCTGCATTTAGAATATTTTCAGCCTCCCAATTTCGTGCCCTCTAGAAACAACCCGCCTCTTCAACCCGCATCGCACCAAAGTAACCAACAAAAGCACCACGAAAAACAGACATGTTCAAACCCCTCAAGTAACAAAAAATCTTCTACTCCATCTGCAGACCGGCCTAAAAGCGTGTCAAATATGGAACACTTTTCGACCACGTCACACCAACAACAACACAACTCACAAAAGGCTAATATGAACCAACATCGACCGCATATTGTGCCGGTTCAAAAACCTCTTTCCCGCCCAATTACCGACGCTGTATCTTCAAAACGACCTGCCGGAATGTCTCCTGTTATGGGATCTTCGCCAAGTGGCCCGACGCAGCCTTCGACTCCAATGAAAGTCGCAGGAGGTCGGCAACACAACAACAAAGATGTGCACCAAGTTCATATCACGCCATCAGGTCACCACGGATACACGACTGCTGTTCGGGTGCCAGACGAGAGTCAGTACTCTAGTATCACAGTTGTCCCGGGCTCATCACAAACAAAGCGACCTTTAATGAACCGGTGCGGTGCTCGGGTGAACATGCAACTTTTGGACCAAGAAGCAGCATTGAAGTGTAATATACCTGATGAGAAGCTTCTTTCTGCACTCGGATTAAAATACACAAGTGACATCACAGAACCAGCGCCGCCTACTAGTGTAATACCTCAACAGCAGCAGCAGTTTGCCAGAAACCAAAATAATGGCCAGAAATTTGCTCAAAGTGAAAACACAAAAGCACAAAACATGAAAACACAAAAGCAGCAGGTGATTCCGGCTCCGATACCTCCTCGATCCAGAAATGTGAACCAGCAGGGATTTTATGAAAACACTGGTGACGCACTCTATTCCGAAATATTCACCGTGCATCAATATGGCCATAAATTTACTATACGACCCAATGAGATCCCGCGTGAAGTAAGTTCCGAAGATTCGTCTCCGACCGAGTCAGTGCTGATGTCGCCCGACATCCACGACTTGATGACTCATACCAGTCAGGCACCTGACAACTGCCAAGACTTCGGTGGGATACCAACATTACTAGAAACTGATTTGGAGGAAATCGGAGAAGCTGATAGCCCTTCAGATGATGATTTCGAGTTTCAGAAGACGTTGTTTTTCCCGACCACTCGAAGATGTCGTCTGTCACAAGCAGATATGAATGAGTTTGACCCACTTAGATGTCACAATGGTGACAAAGAGAAAAACAAAACTGAGGAGGAATTGTCGCCAGGTGTTGCGGCGTTACCTTCGTCCGTTACTTTCGAGGAGATTTCAATTAAGACCAATCAGAGAAGCTCTGTTTTGAGTCAGACTGACAGTGGTTTTGATGGTGAGTCCAGTATTGAAAAATTGATTTCAAAAATCAAGCAATTTCCTTGCCACTATCCCTGATAACTGCTCATAAGTTTTCGTCAGAAAAAAATTAGTCCACTGATTTTGGTGAAAACTGTCTAATTGTTCCGACAATTGAAAGCGTTGAGGAACTTTGTACTCGGGTGTGATTTATTTTTTTTTGTTTTCAACGCAAAATTAGGCAAAGTTAGGTAAATTATTTTCCACGCAAAATAATTTAAAAGTTCCCATAAAAATCCCAATGACGAGAAAAACCGATTTAAAATTTTTTTTTCGTCTAATTTCGACCGAATAAAGTGATGATCACTTGTTAAATTGGTCGTTTAGGCTAAAAAAAATTTATAGGGAAAATATTTTGGAAGTTATATTTGGCACTTCATTGGCAAGAAATTTATATAATTTTTAAACATTTTGTTCAAAAAACAATAAAAATTTCAATTTTTTTTTTGAAAATTTTATCATTTTTTGTTTGTTGTTCTTTTTTTTGAAGACCTTATTAGGCGATTATGCTAACTTACTTAATTTTTTACGCGTGTGTATAGTTTTATCATCACAAAACGTACAAAAACGACGCTAATTTAAAAAATTTAATTATTTGCGAACTTTTATTTGTAGTTTTAATGAATATGGTCGGAACATTCTTCACTCTGTGCTTCTTGCACAGGAACCGGCTATTTTTGTTTTGATTTGCAATTGTACCTGTAGAAAAAGTATAAACTTCGCTCACTTTTCAGGGGAATTTTCGAACCGTTTAGCAAACTTACACTAAAACCTTTAGGTGAAAATTGTCATTTAAGTTCTATCAATTTGTTTCATCAAATGTAACAGTTCATGTTTTAGGAAACTGTGCTGGAAGTGCAACATCTGAACAGAGCGTTCGCAATTCTGACCAATCGGAGGGTGCCGTTGCTGTGACCCTCATGCAACAACAACAACAACAACAACAACAACAACAACAACAACAACAACAACAACAACATGCAGTTGTGGGGGTTTCCATGACGAACTCAGCGTCTACCCCCTCCCCCGTCAATCTACCAAATCCTAGGTAGGTTTCAAAAACTACAAGACAGATACGAGTACTTCTTGACAAGAGTGTAGTTAAAATTAGTTAGTTGTTGAAGAGAAAAACACTTATCGTGGTTTAATTTTTCAGGTATAAAAAGTACTAACCACCATTAATTAATATGATGAGTTTGCACGACTGCAATCTTTTAGTTTTAATCCAAGCGTGACTTATCCGAAGTTGAAAGTGTACACCTCACTAAAACGATCCGTCGGAACAATCAGTAGCGTATACATTGCTGAATGCGACAAAACTGACTTGAACTTTCAACAAAACCATGCAGACAATGTTTTTGAGATTCTGTTAGTTTCAGAGCAAAAAGTATTTTCAATCTGCTTTTAACTTCAATAAGTGTCCATCAATGATCTTTTTGACACGAATTTTCTAACAGTTGCGCGAGGCGTATATGCTTTAAGTTTTCTTTAAATTCGCCCACCATTTCGCAGAAATCTAACTATGCCCTTCAGAGGACGAAGATAAATTATGAACTTCTTATTTTTTAAAGCAATAAAAACTAAGGAACATGATCAAGGAACCAATTAGAGGAAAAATTGTCTACCAATCCAGAAAAATCTAATACGGTAATAAGACTGATAGTATCATGAGAAAGCCCCAAATCTTCCGACCACGAGTTTTGATAAACTTATTTATTTTAAAATTTGATATTGAATTTTCAATTAAAAGTTACGGGTCCTCGCCCAACAGCCATAAACAGTTCACGTTGCGCATTTAGTATCATAGATAAAAAATTAAAAGCGCATATGAATTAGGCAAGGATTATAGTATCAAATGGCAAATTTGAAAACCCCCAGAATTTTATCAAACATGATTGCACGTTAAAACATCTTTTTGAATTTGAACGCAGGGAGTAAATATCTATGTTAAGCAAGGTTCAAAAATGTTCAATGAAACCTTTATTGCCGAAATTGATTACGCAACAAGTCGAAAACAGATTGTTTTACGTAAACGGACGTAACATTGCTTGTTTTCGTTCATCTTCTTTGCTGTTTTGTATTCCGGGAATCAATAACTAGAGCGCAGTATTGCTCAAAATTGCTCCAAAAAAGTCAATTTTTCGCATGCAACGAACTTTACTGAATCTGGAAAAGTTTGTGAAATTCACAATTAAATAAGAAATGTTTATAGTGAAACTGCGCTCTTGCGGAATCCGCAACTGTAAGCGCAATTCGCAATTTGTAGGCGAAATTCGTTAATTGTAAGCGAAATCCGCAGAATCCACAACATGTAAGCGGAATCTGCTGCATCTGCTTACATTTGCGGCATACGTTTACATTTGCGGAATTCGGAACACCTAGCTATATTCGCTTTTTGCGGAGTCAGCGACAAAACTAATGCGCCGACAAAGTTTACATTACAAGTATTTGAGCGCGGAATCCACAACAATTTTGAACATTGTGAATGGAATCCATATAAAGCTTGAATAAAATTTAAAGACTTGTCTCTGAATTTCAGCGACCTAGCGACACCAATATCAGCCCCTATATAGTGCACAGTTTAGCCTCGTAATGAAAAACAACCCAGAAAACAAACTTCGTTACTTTATATGAGAATTGGAAAAAACATCGATCTGCGTTTTTTATGATCTGCGTTTTGTCGGATCTGTGTACCGATATCCGCCAGCTCATACAGATCTAGTCTCTAAAGCTACAAGGACGAACATGTGCATCCACTTATCAATAAAACTGAGAGCTTAAGCACATTATTAAATGTGTGGTTGCAACTTGCTCTTGCAGACAATCTTATCTATTGTGGAGCTAGTTGATCTGATAATAAATGAGTTTTAACCTTGAGTACTTGATTCTTTTTGTGGGAAGAGAGCACAAAAAAAAATAAAAAAAAACATCAAAATTTTTTATCATTGGAGAACTTTATCAAGAGGACAATCAACTCCACATTACCTCAAGAGCAGTTAAAATTTTAGGATTTTTGCCCTGATGATACGACCAGCCTTGTTGTTCCGGCTTTCGAAAAAAGTGTTTTTAAGGTGACTTTTGAAATGTTTTTTTTTCACGCACATTTCTGCTAAATATCTATCTATTTTTGACGGAATTTTTTTATTATAGAGTATAAAAAAGTTTAAAAAAATAACTTTGTCTTGAGCTCAAATTAAAAAAACAAATTTCAGCTGCGACAATTTTCATAATTCTATAGTGCTGTGACTTTTCTTCATAAATAGATAGGGCTATGAAGTTACATCCCTTTGTGCATTTTTGAGATTTTTATAAATATTTTATAAATAAATAAAAAATATTTTTTATTATTTTTTTAAAATTAAATTATCACGAAAGTTGAATCTTAATTTACTTGACGCAACATAGACTACCGCCGGAACAATTAAGGCCTTGTTTTGATATGAGCAGTCTTGTGGCTGCTTCACTTCATACTTTACACATTGAGTGGGTGTTAAATTTTCAATAAAAATTTATAAAAGAGTCATTTTTCCCCAATTTTTATTGAAACTTTTTCCGGTTTCATATTTTTTGAAAGTTGGAAAAGTTTTTGAAAAATTAATTTCTGGGTTTTAAGGGGCAGACAGAACAATCAGCGTTTTGCCCTAATGTGAGCAGTATTTTTGTTTCATGTGAGTTCGTAAAATTTTTTGATGCTGGAATAATCAATGCTTAGTAGCTTCAGTGTTAATTTGCCTATATTTATTCGCCACATCGCGAAGGGATTCCCCCAAGTATGCACACATTTCGCCCTTTGCTAGGTGTTGATAGAATAAACCATCAAATAAGGAATCAAATAAAGAATATTTGTCCAGGGTCTGAGATTGTTCAGCATAAGTAATTTTGAGCTCTCTTGACCAAACCCCGCCTCTTATTAACACATTTGCTCAAAACTGAATCTAATACTTTCAATGTACAGCTAAAAAATGGTCCAGTAAAATTTTTTATTCATGCAGGTTTTAGGAATTCAATTGATAAATATACTTTTTTTCATCAGTTTGATTGACCAAACTACGAAGTGCTAAAAGTGTTGTTGCTGGTTATCTGCAAATTTCTAACGCTTTTCATCGAACACGCAAAATTCCAATTTTGAGCACATATTTTTCTTCAGCATGGTTCAAACTTCACTATCACTATTAAGAGTGAACGTGCAAGGGTACTTGGTTAGAAGTATGGTTCCTTTACGAATCTCGCTTACAAGTATGGTCCCGTAAGGTAGTTTCTGATTTTTATTAGGTAGTTTATAGGGCGATGGATTTTATAATACGGTTATATTACGTATAATCTTTTTGCAGTTTCTAAGTTTTGTCAACGAATTGATGCATTTCATAGTTTTTAATTGTAGAAAACTTTAAAACCTTCGTAATAAATCCATCAAAAATGTTTTTGAGACTAAATTAGACAGAGGCTGACAGAAAAATTTGATTGGAGATTGAATCCGAATTCGTTTCTACTACAAATTTAAATTTTTTTTAGCTACAATCACTCATTCGCGCATTTTGCACCTGATTTATTGCCCTTTCTAAAAAAAATAACACAAAATTTTAGACTATAAAAAAAAATATTTTTTTTTATTATTACCATGGCAATCAACAAGGGGTGTTGAAATTGGGTATCAGATTTTATTCACCGTTAAAAGCTTTGTTCATAGAGTGGTAAATTTGAAAAAATGCTAATTTTTCTTACGTAGATAAATGTGGTACACTTAATGCTATGCAACATGTTCCTCTATCCCCTAAATAGGTTTGGTTAGTAATATATGGTCCATACAAGTTTTTGTAAGGTGATTTTTTGCCAAAACTTGCGGATGATTTTCAGCTGATTAATTGTCGACTTTAAGACTGTCGGGTTAATTTTTTATTATTCTTGTTTTTTTTTATTTCTGTTCATTTCCTAAGTCAATCTATTTAAAAAAGCTTGACATTAACATCACCGACCTTCATTTTAAAAAATTCAATTTTGAATTTCACAAAAAAAACTGTTTTCGGGCGGGGGGTATGCGTTCTTTTTAAAAAAATTCGAAAGTTTTGACGACCTTTTTTTAGGTTTTTAGTTCGACCAAATTGATTTTCCGAGCTCTCCTAAGCACTAAAAAGATACTGTTTTGGCAGTTTTTGGGAACTTTTTGTAAAATTTTGACAAAAAATTGCGGTTTTTTTTGGCGCGCTCCCCCTCAAACTTAGTATATATTGGCGCCAAAGGCGCCTTTAGAAAAACTTTAGGGTCGGTCGGCCAAAAACGGTTTTCTTAAAAAGTACCAAAGGGGGGACCGCCAACCTAAATCCGTCCCTGCAATTTCCTTGGTATAATTTTTTGATTCGTTTTTGTATCAAATGATTTTATATTTTGATTTAAAAGCCTATATGTTTTTTACGAATAACTATTCTCACAAAAAAATTTAAATCTAGAATGACATAAATGTTATCATATCATTTTTACAAAAATAAACTTTTTAATAAGTTCTGATCATAATTCATTATTTTTAAATTTTTTTTGTCATGTGTTCTAATACACTTATTGCTTATCTTTGATTTTAGTGAGGTCGCGGTCCTGATTTAATTTAATTTACAGTTTGTAAATAATGCTTACGTTTTTTCTTTTCACCCGGCTATTTTTTTTGGTAGATTCTTGCCCAACGGCTTGTGTTGAGTTTTTGTCCCAGTTTTTTTGCCTCTGTTTTTGCAGTTTAAGCTCTCAGATCTCTCAATAATGATAATTATTGTTTCAAATTGATCCAAAAGTAATGATTCATTGAGCTCTTCAGAAAACGTGCAACAACAAAATCTAAAAATTTATTGTAATTTTTTTGTATTTACAAGTCCCATTTTATCTGAATCTACTTATGATGTCGGTTTAGTTTCATCGGCACACCTTTTTTTGACAGCTCAGGTTTTTCTATCGTTGACGAATGCTTTATCTGAAGCGTCAAATAGTGAACGTTTTAAATTTTGCATAGTTTTTGTTTCTCTCTTGCTTGGGTTTTTTGATTTAAGAAGTGTAATCATTACCGCT